CCCTGGAAATGTGTTGTTTTTGGTGTTAAAAATAAATCATGAATCTCAAATTTCTTTCATTTGGCCTCTGAATTGGCACATAGATGTATACTTTGTAAGAGGTTTCAGAAATTAAAAAAATAGTGTGTTTGGATTTTTCAGGCAGTTAAGGAAATATTATATTCTGATTGAAAGATGAGTCAAACTGTATGGGGGAGAGCACGTTTTTTACCACAGCAGCAAATAACATCAATTTTACCGTTGTTTCCTAGCAACTATTCAAGGCCACTGGTTTCAACACACACCTAACACACTGCAATCTGATCCAAGCATCTGTCAAGAAAACCTTTAGAAATGAATTCTGTTGCATGACAGAGCCCTGCTCAGTTTCCAAAGAATCCTTTTTTCCTCTCCTAAGACATACATTTGAAATTCATCTTGATCACTTCCCTCCCCTTGGCACCAAGAATACCACTTAGATTCAGATAATTAGTTTTACTTAATTTAGGCATTTCTGTCATCTTGTGCCATCTTAAGGATCTTGGCTGCCTCTCTAACTCTAGGGTATTGGCTACCTTGACAGCCTGGTAGTGGTTGGGCCCCCACAGCAGAAGTATGGCAAGAACCTTTTCCTCCCTCTGTCCTTCCATCCCTTTCTAGCAGGGGGAGCCACTGACAGGTGAGCCCCAGTGCAGGCTGGGACACCGAGCACCTGGGAATGACATTGGGAGGAAGTCTCCACCTTTGCACTTGTGTAGATGCCAATGGCACCATTGATTTTCTTTGAATCTCTTCTCTCTTATTGTTTACTTTGAGTTAAAATTTTTTTTTCATCTGAGAGAGGTATAAATAATAGGAAGTAAACTGTGACCACTAGCAAAATGTCATCACCTGGCTCTGCTTCCATGTGGGTTAGAGGAAGACACTATAAAGGTAGTCTGTGAACTTAAAAGAAAAATGCCTTGATTTTTATGGAATTCAGATGTTCAGCTTGATGGGGATTGGGGTAGAGGTAGGACGTATCACTCCCCCCACCATCTCTTCAGAGCTTCTTGACTTTGTTCTGAATGTGGTAGAAAACTATTGCTGGTCTCAAAGCTGTGCAAATTCCTCTTTCTCATGGTGGCATCTAGCTCCACACGTCTGCTTCTCCTGAACTGGACCAGGGTTTAAATTGTTTTACTATCTGTCAAGTGCTTTTTTTTTTTTTTCTGAGCTGTTGACAACCCTGACATGGAATTTAGCCACTTCCTTTGGTTCATACACAGGCACACGCATATGCACACAGGCACACGCACAAATACACATTCAACCACTAGGACAAGGCACGTGAGCATCTTACAGACTCAACATGTTTGAAAAAATGGAGTGGAAATCAACTTCAGAGCGGCAGAGCTCACATTTAGTATAGGACATACAGATTAATGGTTCCCCAGAGAGACAGAACGATGGTAATTGGATAGGGGTGTGTGTGTGTGTCTGTGTGTGTGTGTGTGTGTGTGTTTGTCGGGGGAGGGAAGAGGAAAGGAGAGAGATAATTATTTTAAGGAATTGGACTTCATGGGTATGGAAGCTAGCAAGTCCAAAATGTACAGTTCAAGTCTGAAGACCTTCCAGTTGGAGACCTAGTGAAGCCAAAGCTTCAGTTCAAGTCTGAATTACCTCTTTCTCAAGAGGAGGGCAAGTGGAAGGCCCAGGCAAGTCTGTCCCCTAGGCCGGAAGCAAATCTTATTGAGGGGGGTGGAAAATAGCCCTGGCGATAGGCACTGGCCACCGCACAGGTGGCACCTGGGCACACAGGACTGAGGAGAGTAGCAGGGGTAGTGACAGCAGCAGTGGCAGCAGCAAGATGTTACTGTCAGGAGCATAGGTGGTCAGAGAGCTTCAAATCACACTGAAGGACAAGATGGCCTTAGACTCAGCACTTGCCAGGCTCTGCAAAGTGTAAGTAAAATCGAAGACGCCACTGCTACCCTGATGTGAGCACAGACACCCCAGCCCATGGATGGAGCCGGACAGCAGGGACCGAGCTGGACCACAGGCCCTTCTTCCCCTGAGGCTGTTGGCAACGACAGATGTTGCCTGTGCTTGTAAATTATGTCCTAAAAACTGCTCTTGTCCTCTTTTTTTTCCTTTTTATTAAAGTAGGATACATTGATTCTGAAGCATGGAAGGAAGGAAAGGAGGAAGCAAGGGAGGGAAAAAGCTAAGCAAAAAGCAGGGGGACTTATTGTGAAAGTGGGAGAAAGGCTCAGTATCATTTTTGTGATTTCTCTGAATCTACTCATAAAAAAGGAGAATCCTATAAATTAACTCTGTAGAAATCACCCCTGTTAATATCGCAGTACACATTTTTGGCAATTAATTTGTTGTACCTTAACAAAGCACAGTAAAATGTATGAGCTAAGTACAGAGAAGCAGAAAGGTCTCCACAATTCTGTATGAAGCCACAGCTCTGGACGGAGAGGATTCCATATGGCTTCAGAGTGAAGGTTCTGTTACCCGCAAACAGACCAGCAGCGCAGTACAGAATTCCAGCCGAACAGCTCTGATTTTGGGTTATACCCTCCTTGGTTTCCCCAGAGTATCCCTACCTCGAGGGCTTCAGAAGCTTGCTAGTAGGTAGCAAACAGTCCTATGCAGAAGTGGCTGGTAATCTCAGTGAAGCAGGAGATGGGGACCAGATATAGAAAGAGTTTGGGGAGAGGGGGGCGCCTAGACTAAAGACCCCATATTATCTGCGGCTTTCATTACTCACATCTGAAGCCAGAAGGTCCTTGAACGGCCTGCCCGAAAGTCCCCTTCCCATTCTTCTCCCGTGGATAAAGTCTCACGGGCCAAACACCCTCCTCACGTCGGGAGCACACAGTGCCTCTGGCGACCCTTCAGACACAGCAAACCCGTCCTCCCAGGGGAGCCCGCGAAGTCCGCCTCAGCCCCTGTGCCCCATCTCAGCCCTCGCTCAAGCTCTGAGTCCATCCGACCACCCCGGGGCGGGGCTCTCTGCGCCCCCAGGCCGGGAGAAAGAGAAGGAGGAGGAGGAGGGGGAGGGGGA